CCCGCCGCCCAGCTGCCCCCCGGTCCTTCCCCCTCCCCCGTCCAGCTGCTCCCCCTTTTTCCCCCCTTCCCTGTCCGCTGACCAGCTCCGGCTCCCCTTTGGCTCCAGCATTTGGGCCCCGGCTCCTCTCCCCAGCACATCTGACCCAGGTAACGGCTGTGCCCTCCCCCCTCCCAAGTCCCGCATCACGGAGATTCACGACAGCAAGCCAGCTGCCCCCCGGTCCTTCCCCCTCCCCCGTCCAGCTGCTCCCCCTTTTTCCCCCCTTCCCTGTCCGCTGACCAGCTCCGGCTCCCCTTTGGCTCCAGCATTTGGGCCCCGGCTCCTCTCCCCAGCACATCTGACCCAGGTAACGGCTGTGCCCTCCCCCCTCCCAAGTCCCGCATCACGGAGATTCACGACAGCAAGACGAAGCTGGAGCAGGACCTGAAGAAACAGGCCGCGGAGAACCGGGAGATCGACAAGCGCATGAACAGCCTCAAGCCGGACCTGATGCAGCTGCGCAAGCTCCGGGACCAGTACCTGGTGTACGTGCTGCTGCCTGCCTGACGCCAGCTCTGGGCTGGGAGTGGTGGAAGAAACAGCCCCCGGGGCTGCCAGGTGTCTGGGGCCCTCGGCCGTACTATCAAACCGGGGCCGATGGTTTAGAGCTGTCATTTGACAACCGTCCGCTGCCCACACTGGCTGGTTCTTTCCCAGGCTGGCTGCGCTACCAGAGCTCTGGCGGCTTTTCCCCTTTGCACTTACATAGCCCCACTTCAGGGGAAGCAGAGACGCAGGGTTTGGAGGAGGCGGAGGGGGGCTTAAGACCCAGGGGTGCCCCAATTTTGAGGTGCCCTACGCAGCTGTGGATTCTGCGTGCACTCTGCCAACCGCAGCCTGTCCTTGCTGCTCACTGACCAGCTGGCTCCTCGCTGGGTGTCAAGCTTTTCTCCCTGGCTCCAGTGCACCCTCCCTGTGCCCTATGGGTCCCCCCTCCTACCGCCCCGCTGGGCTCCCGATCCTGCTGGCTGGCTCATTCTGTGGGGGGGTGCTGCCCCCTGGCGGAGCGATTTGTCAGCGAGGCCGGGATGAAAAGCTGCGCCAGTCGGTTTCTCAGCTCCTGCCTTGCTCCCCGCAGGTGGCTGACGCAGAAAGGGGCCCGGCAGAAGAAAATCAACGAATGGCTGGGCATTAAGAACGAGACGGAGGAGTAAGTGTCCCTGCCCGCTGCCTCCCAGTGCGGGCGGGGGGCTGCAGGGAGAGCCCTGCCCGCATGAGAGGAGGGAGGGTTTTGTGTCCTATGGGTCCCGTCCCACCACCTGCTGGGCCCTGAGTCTCCCCCTCTGTGGCCCCGCCCACGGTGCCATGGTACAGAGGGGGAGCTG